ACGATGAGGTCTTCCTGGGAGTTCCAGGTCCGCGATGACACGCTTCCACGGATAGAGAACCAATTAGCGCAAGGGTAAGGAATGGGAGGGAGGGGTAGGACGCAGCGCACTCAGTTTGCCACCTCCCTCTCTGCATCCTCTTCTCCTCCCTCTTTCCTCCCACTGCACTCTCCACCACTCGCCCTCATGTCCTCCCAGAAGGAAGAGGCCCAGACCCCTCGCGTCGCGATGATAGCACAATCGCACCAAAGTTGTGTCACAAGTTTTGGCTGTCCAGGGACCTTTCTTGGGACTCGGGACCGTCAACATCCACTCAGGGTGAAGGACCAAGCCCAGGGAAAAGGTCGCGACCTCCAGGGATCCACAGTCTGAAACATTCACGAGGTCTGGGATGGGGCGGGTGGATGCGGATGCGAACGAGGGGTAACCGAGGACGCGGGGGAGAAGGAGGAACAAGGGGGGAGCATGATAGAATGGTCGATGGAGAGAAGGGTGAGGACAAAGACGACCAGAAGGAGGAGCAGGATAGCGAGAAGGATGACGTCATGCTCGTGCTGGCGAGGCCCTTTGGTGGTGGGAGCCCTCTTCCTGGCCTGCTTGGCGGCCCCTGGACGTTGAAACAGGTCGCATAGGTCCTCACCCGCGAAGTGTCGCTTGTTTAAATGCATATATAGATACACACATATATATATATATATATGTAACAACGGGGACACCGGAAGTCACGACCCTTCCCCAGGACCGGTGTTGCATCCTGGGCCGTTCTTTGACGGCCTTGGGGCCCGACGAGGGCCCCCAGAGGCCGAACATGGCCGCAAGCCGCTCGTCGTGACTTTTGCCACCCCGCGGGCAGGTCTGGGAGGCGGTGGAGGAAGGAGAGCAGGAGGAGCAGGAGGAGAAGGATGAGGAGGAGGAGGAGGAGGAGGAGGAGGAGGAGGAGGAGGACAAGGTGGAGCCTGGCCTACCCTCAGGAAGGTCGAGGCACTCAGCGATCTCTGTGACGCGGTGGATCAGGGTGACCTGCGGGGCAGTCAAGGCTCGAATGCTGTTGACTACTGGGCCGAACGTGGTGCCAGATTGCACGACCCTTCGCCGCCTGAACTTTCTGGCTCCTCCCAGGCCGAAGGGGAGTAACATTCTTTGGTGGTTGGGACTGTATATCTTGGAGACTCTCCCATCTTGCGAGGCTTAGTTTGGCAAACTCTCCAGGCCTAAGCGGGCCAGGGTCCCTCGGACTGAGGGAACCCAGCATGTGCCCGTCCCGCACGGGAGTGCCTGAGGTGCCAGCACTGTTTGAGAGTTGACTCAGCCACGACTGAGACTGAGTGTGTGGCTCCCACTTCCTCATTCCTAGCCCTCTCGAGGGGTGTGGGGAGAACTGGGCACAAAATGCACCGGGCACGATTGTTGCCTATTGATGCCACCTCGGACGTCCCAGCTATTGTCGCGCTTCGTGTGGAGGCTTCGCCAGCAGCCGAGCTGGCAAGCTTCTCCAACCCTGCCAGCACCAGCACCCCAACAAGAGCACTGACATGGCGAAGTTGCTCAGGGGGGTGCTGCCGGGGACGCCCCGTCGGCTGGGCCAATCCTTTCTCTCCTCGCCCCACCCTTCGTGGCCCTCATTTCTTCTTCCTCGTCCTTCGCCCGGGCTTCCGGTGGCCCAGCCGTGGAGTGAATTTCGATCTTTCTGTTGTAGCGCGTCGGATGAGCCTAGCTCGAGCAGGCGCACCTCTGGTCCGCTGAGGTCCGCTGAGGGGGAAGGAGGAGGAGGAGGAGGAGGAGGAGGAGGAGGAGGAGGAGGAGGAGGAGGAGGAGGAGGGAAGGAGGAGGAGGAGGAGGAGGAGGAGAAGGAGGAGGAGGAGGAAGGAGGAGAGGAGGAGGAGGAGAAGAGGAGGAGGGGAAGGAGGAGGAGGAGGAGGAGGAGGAGGAGGACGGAAAGGAGGAGGAGGAGCAGGAGTGGCCGGAGTGGGCAGACGGGGGGGTCCCGGCCACGCGCAGGAGACCGTCACCGAGGCGTCGAAGAGCGGCAGCAGCGAGCAGGAGATCGTCTCCGTGGCGATACGGCAGCTGCCCGCCGAGATCCGCGAGCGGCTGGAGACCCCCCCCCCAAAGGGACGACGACACGGCGAGACGGCGAGGTTCTCGGGCGTTTTCGTATGCTCTCGGCGGCTTCCCAGCCTCGGGATGTCTTTCAGCGGCTGCGCCTCGCCAATCATCGCAGAGTGCCTGCTCGCAAACGTGCCCACTCACAAAGTGCCTGCTCGCAAAGTGCTTACTCGCAAACGTCAGAAAAAAAACATGTCTGCTACTAGTTATGGAATGGATCGTAGATCCCGCGCGGCGGATCCTGGTCATTTGCGAGTAGTTACTTTGCGAGTAGCGGAGCGCGCTTCTCTAGCTAAGGAAGTTCCGGGGGTGCCCAGATCGTCCCGAACGGCCGCTGGCGAGCCGAGTCATGACCCGAAAGTCACCGAGCCACTGCGGCGACAACGGCGGCGGC